CCAATAAACAGCTCATGGAAAAAGCATTTACTTTTCCGTCATCCTAATAAATCCACATTAATCTGGAAAAAGATTTCATTTATATGTAATTTTATTATATTTTTGTTTATCTCTACACCATAAAAATGTGTCATAGTGGTTGTCACCCCTTTGCCCAGATACTCGACCTCATTTGGCATTCCATATAACTTCACTTTGCTTTTTTATTATTTCAGTAAAAATGGTTCTCTCAGTTTTATTGAAGCCAATCCATTGACAGTTTCCGAAATGCATTTTCTTTGCTAGACACTATTTTTAAAAAAGTCTTCACTTTTATCTTGCAAAAATATTGTTGTACTCTTACATGATTCTCGTCACGGCATCAATCCTGCGTCTACCGCAGTCTGCCCGGGTAAAGACAGATTAATATCCATAAAGAATGAGGATGGAGAGGAACGGTGGAAGAACCATGTATTTGTAATTATCAATATTTGCGCCATATTCGCAACAGGCATTTTAGAATCCTTGGATATTTGCAATTAACGCATCGATATAATTTCGGAAATCTACATTTTACAATAATTGAAAAGCTAAACATAAGATGCCTTATGATGCTAGAAATATTTCTGACAATATTTTTTTTCAAATGTATTGTACGTTGTTTGTCTCTAGATATTGGGAATGATACAAATATACTTTTTAATAAAGAATTGCCAGTTTTACAATATTAAAGTTTACATGAAGGAATGAAGACCGAGATGGTGTAGCCTTTTGTATGGTCGCAGTTTCCTTTCGTTATAGAGAAGTAGTTTGACCTTGTTTTTGCAACTTGGTCATATTGGCAGGAAGGCCTAGAGGAGTGCACCTAGTCCATAGTCCATTGTATGCATGATGTAATTCGTACTATCGACGTGGTATATTCTTACACGTTTCGCCGGCATCCTGGTCAGCATCGTCACTGAGCTTTGCTATTCTTAGCCCCACACTACAACTCGTCAAACCGACAAGTGAAGCCGATCCTTTGACCAATTGTCTACTAAAGTTTACATTTTCGCCGGAATAGGCTCTATTAGTACTGATTTATAGACAACCTAGCTTCCGATGGTGGAATCCGGACTCAGCTTGCAAGTTTCATAGTACATTAGTGGTCTCCAATCAGTCTAATATTCAGTAGCTAAGTTCTCTACACTAAATTATTTTACCTTAGTAACTTTAATGATTTTCTAATAGGTTTGATCTTGTTTTTGCTACTTGCTCTTATTGTAAGAGAGCTAAGGTCAAACCACTTATATACGACAAGTGACTGTGACCATACTAAAGGCCACATAATCTTAGTCTTCGTACCTTCGTTTAATGATTTTGATTCAATCTCTGATGGGAAAACAGTTTTTAGCTGGAATGATGTTGTTGAAACGTCATCGAAGTGGGTATGGAATGCAAACTTCCATGTACACCGCTTGTAACTATATTTTATAGTCAGTACTGTAGCCATATGTAATGTAACATATGCAATCGAATATTGCCCCTATAAAGCATATATTTCTTCATCCGGCCAAGCGAGAAGGCAACTTGTGAATGAGTTGCTTATAAACCAATTAGTTCAATTAGTCTTACGCGAAAACCACATTAATTTTACCATGCACAAAATCCTTTTTACTTACTTTGCGGGCCATTCTTACTTGCTTCATTCCTTCTGCCTCTAGGTGATCCTTTCAAAAATTGTCTTATCACTCAGTAAAATTATGAGTTAATTCATTTATATTTCGAGCACGATCGTGAAATACAATACCATAAATAATGTACACTATTTCATTTTCCCCAAGTAAATATGTGGCTCGACGAATAGGCTTGATTAGTTCATTCAAAGGCCGGATGGCCGGATGGTGGTCGGATGGCCAAAGCAGCAAATGTATATTTGTCATTTAGATCGACGACTACGACCATACAAAAGGCCACACCATCCTGGTCTTCATATCTTCGACTATACTTATTTTTCGTTTTTAAGTAGGTTTTCGAGACTACCAGTAAATGAGATACGAAAATAAGTTTAGGTATGTGTAGAAAAACTGGTTTTCAAAGAATATTTTATAAAGTTATGTTAGAATACCTTTCATTTTATTTAAGTGTTGAGTGGAAGGGATTCGTAAGTTGGTCTCCCCGGAAGATGGGGGGGGGATTGCCGTGGAGATGGGATTGTAGATTCGTGAGATTAGGTCTTCAGCGCACCGCCCTGTGACCTCGATGAATCCTTGCTGAGCTTTCGTCCATTATGTGACGGCATTGTCAGAGCATTACACCATGCCTAATGATAATTCACCAAACATAAAGAAGCCTGCCACCTTTCCTTTCTTCGTGTTTTGGTGAATTATCGTTAAGAATGGTGTCCTACTCTGAAGATATCCGTCTTATGGCGAAAGAAAGCTCAGCAAAGATTCCTCGGGTTCACAGGGCAGTGCGCTGAGGACCGAGTTTTACAAATCTACTGTCACATCTCCAAGACAACCCCCCTACAGCTTCAGGTTAGGCCAACTTACAAATCCTTTTCATTCGCTTCGTAAAACGAAACGAAAAGTACTCCAACAAACTTATTAAGGGATTCTTAGAAAACCAGTTTTTCTACATATCTATAAAGAACCTACGGGTACCGGACATTTTGAGGTTCATCACTTTACATTAAGACCAAGAAAGCGCTTGCCAGGCATGTTAGCCATATTTAGTTTTTGAAATTATGCTCATCAAATATAATTATTCTCACATTGTGTATTATTCATAAACCGAATATTCCAAGTTGGACTAAGTAAGTCCTTCTTAAGAAATCTCACGGATTAGTTATTTTTAGAATTCAAGAATTTATCAGAAAAGTTCATTCTTTGATTAAGAAGAAAACCAGATTACAGTAATCGCCGTCAGAAGCTCTTAGCTGCGATGAGTTCCTTGATTTGAAAACAACGGCAGAGAAGTTATATGACATAATGTTTCAACAGGTTAGGATGAATCATAATAAAAAACTTGGGAATTCGGGCGTAAGAATTAAGACGGGGAGTTATCTGAAGACATTTAAATTATCTTTAAAGGAGCAGAGTAGAGTAAGAGAGAAAGTCGTAAATCTGTCCAGAACAGCTTTGGACATTAGCATATATGAGGTTCTTCTAAAGGGTTGAATTTTGCGTTGCCAAGGGATAAATATTGGTAGGACTCATAAGTTTTATTTACCACTTACCTGAAAAGTCTATGAGTGATATCGAATTACAGGTTGTCCCTTTAATTGATAGCCATATAGTATTATAACAAAGGAATAACAGATTTAACAACACCATTAAAAAACTAAGAAACCAGGAACAAATAATGTTAAGAACAGACAAGGGGGAGCAGTGATGGTCATGGATAAGGTTAGCTATATAAAAGCGATGATGTAGGCACTAGATGATTAATTAACTTACACGATTATCAATAAGGACCCTAAAGAAACCCTGAAATCTAGACTCAGAAGTTTCCTGAAACAATCAGTAACAAAGGAGGAATTAGATGAGGGGAAAATGAGCAGACTTCTTCAATTAGATGCTAGGCTCCCGAATTCATATAGCCTGCCAAATATACATAAAGAAGGAATTCCACTCAGAATTATTATTAATAATAAGGTCTGTGTGATGCATAAAACATCACACTATATTTTTCAGAAAATAAGGCAAATCTCTGAGGCATGACATTTTTCAATAAGGAACTATTATGAATTCGTTCAGTTAGTCGATGAACAGTGAATATGAGGCAGGGATTATTTTGTTCGTTTTGAGGTAGAATCAATGTACATCAACAATCCTGAGCTACTTGGGATCTAGAAGTAACTTTAGACCGAAACCCTGATATTCTGATAAATACAAATTTCGATAAGAAGTCAATAATGAGGTAGACGACTTTAGTCATGAGCTGTACATATTTTACTTTTAATAGTAAAGTGTAATCAAAAACACTGGGCTTAGCAATGGGATAATGCTTGTCCCCAATTTTAGCAAATGACTTCATGGCTCAACTAGAAAGTCGTTTAATAAAGAAGCAATTTTAGTTCATAAATTATTTAAGTACCTGGATGACAACATTGTCGTATAGCAACATGGCAAATAAAACATAGGATAATTCCTATTGTTTATGATTGGAATATCAAGTTCATTATGGAACTATAAAAAGATGGTAGTTTAGCATTTCTAGATGTTCATGTTGGCAAAAAGGGAAATAAACTAAGTTTGAATGTGTACATGAAACTGACAAATGTGGGGTTTCTTTTACATTTCTTTTCAAACCATACTTATTGAGTTAAAGTAGGAGTTATGAAGACCACGATAATAAGGAGTCTGCATCTTGCAGATCGGAAGCAAGACCTGAGGATATTAAGGGAAATTTTAGTTGAGATTTATTACCCGTTAGGACTAATTGAGAATCGGTTTGAAACGCTAGCGAAGGTAAT